AGACGAAACGTTTCATTAGAGAAGAACCCGTCCAGAAGACCTATACAATTTTTTTCTTTTTGATTTTTTACCTGGATTACTGAGATGCATCAGGACAGATGGATGGATATGTTGCGGTGATAGGTCTTAATATCTTTTAAAGTTGGTTTTTGTTAGCCAGTATTTGCTTTGATATTTCAGATAAGCTGCTTGCTGTAGTTGATTGTTGAAAAAACTGTTTTAAAACAGCAGATAATGTATCTGCATTAAAATTATGGTTCCACTTGTGTCCATCATGCGATTAGATAAAAGGTCTCTCCAAACCGAGCTCCCGGGCTGAATTTCAAACGCACCCCGCCTCTGCTGAAGGTTGTCGTGGAGCTTCACAAAACAAAACGTAAACAATAAAACAGAAGCTCTAATAAGAGCGGTGCTCATGCTGCTCAGTTTGAGCAGAGTTCATATAAACGTTGAGTTTGACACAGAGAGGAAACAGGGCTTCCTGTTTGTTTCTTTGACCCCTTCCTGGAGTTTGCACCTTCCATAGAGATATGTGCCTACGTCGTCATTATCTTCGGGGTCAAAGGGTAAAAATGACAACAAATTCAAATAATCTGTAAAAATCCTTCAACTTTTAACTGTTGTAGACCCTCGGGACCTTTCTATTAAGAAAATAAAGCTTTAATATTCAACATGAACCTTCCAGTAACGAGGAAATGCAGCTGATTTCTTGCAGTGATCTTACCCACTGAGAGGAGGTGCCAGGTGACGGCCGGCGTGGCGAAGCAAGCGAACACGTCGTCGGTGCTGCTGAAGTGGGTGAGGTGGGGGCTGGACACGGCCTGGCCTCGACACTGACCCCACATCAGAACCTGGCCGCTCTGCGTCTTGGCAGCTGACGTGTGGCTGGTGTGACACGCGGCCACCTCCACCATCCTGGCAGGGAAACCACAGCTCAAAACTTTGGGAAGGATCTTTTAAAGACGTACAGTTAATAATGCTGGCACAAGTCGAGCAGACAACATGAAGCACGTTTTTACAGGTAACACTTCTTTAGTCAACCCACAGATTATTAATCTGTGAAAACAAAGCACTAACCTCTCCTTGTCTGTGTTTATTAGGGTGGGAAGAGCTTGATTACTTTTATTGCCCGTCCCCAGCTGTCCATAGGAGTTAGCTCCCCAGGCGTACACAAGCCCTTCATCTGTAAGAGCCAGTGTGTGTGCATATCCACATGCTACCTGGAATTAAAAGGCACAATGTATTTAAGGAGACTGTTAACAGAACAGCAGAGTTTTACAGTGGATGCTAATCTGATTCCCACCTGGACTACGTTGATCCCTTGGAGGGCAGCGATCCTGCACGGGGTCTGCTGATTTCCATTATTGCCCAAACCCAGCTGTCCGTTACAATTATAGCCCCAACCATAGATCTGCAAAGAACACATGCAATGCAAATACAAGCTAAAATAGCAGCAAAAAGCTAGACAAAAGCTAAAGTAGCAAAAGGGTGGCTAAAATATAAAAGTAATCAAAGACTATCTAATAGGTAAAAGCAGAATAGTAGCTGAAAGTAATAAAAAAAAAGGTCAAAATAAAGCAAATATGCTAAAAGATTTTAAAAAGAAATGTGGTTTTGAAGGAGTAGAAGAGATTTCAATGCATTTCTATTGGGAAAATATTTGTAAATAAATGTTAATATTTTAAAAGAACCTAAAAGTGAATGAGTTGAACATTCAGATACAGGAGTAGGTAAAACAGCAAAATAAGCAGAAGTAGTTAGTTTGCAGAAATAGTAAAGACAAAATGGTTCCACTTTACAATAAGGCTTATAAATAGTTTAGATAGGTTATTAATTAATCTGTGAACATTTTATAAATCGTTAACAAGTGTTTACTGTGCTTTAATAAGGACATAAAAGAGACAAAACTGTCTGTTTTCTTGCCAAATATTGAGCCAAATCTGTTCATGTTACATCTAAAAGGTGCTTATTAAACATTTCAGACCAGGTTTCTTCCTTATAAACACAATAATGTGATGAAAACACATATTTTACATATAATATTGTACTGTAATACTGCATTATACATGTCCACATCAAAGGGAGCCTTATTGGAAAGTGTAAGACAGTACACCATTTATTAATGCCTAATAAACATGTATAAATATCATAAAGGAGACTTATAAATAGTGTACTGTTTTACACGTTATAATACAATATTTTATGTAAAGTCAGGGTTCCTGCAGCTTAAGGCAAGTAAAATTTAAGACTTTTAAGACCTCTTTATTTGCCACTTGAAATTAAATTTAGGACCAACTTTACAATAAACACAAATGAAAAATAAAACCCAGTTGGCGACAATTTTACCCAAATGTTTATTTTAACACAAAACAAGCTGAGAGATATTCAGTAAATTACTTCCAAAAATAAATAAATGTTACAAATCAATTTAATGTTTGAGACAAATGATCATCCTGCTTACAATGTGTTAACATTTTAACACCTCTGAAAGATTTAAGACCTTTTAAGGCTAATTAAGGCCTTATTTTTTTGGATTCAGGAATTCAATGCCTTTTAAGACTTTTTAAGGATCTGCAGGAACCCTGAAAATATGTGTTTCTAACACATTATTGTGTTTACAAGTAGAAACCTGGTCTGAAATATTTGATAAAGCACCTTTAGATGTAACATGAACAGATTTGTCTCACTATTTGGCAAGAAACCCAGACAGTTTTGTCTCTTTCCCATCCTTAACTATTGCATAATAAACACTTGTTAATGATTTATAAAGTGTTTACAGATTAATTAATAAACTAACAATAAACTATATGAGCCTTATTGTAAAGTGGTACATAAAAATAAAACACAGAGTAACAATCAGCCTAAACGCCGACTCAGCACTTGCTCAAAAACCATCCATGTAAAGACATCTGATACCTCTCCGTTGTCCAGAACAGCCATAGAGCAGAGCTGGCCACAGGCGATGTTGATCACCACTTTGCTCTGCAGGCAGCTGCTGACCCGACGCGGCGTCGGCTGATTGGCCGTCGACCCAGAACCCACTTGGCCTGAGTTGTTGTAACCCCACGCGTACACCTGGGCACAGCGGTGAAAGTTCACACACAGATAAAGAAAGAAAAACAACTTCAGTGAGAACACACGACTGACTGACTGACCTCTCCGTCGCTGGTGAGGGCGATGGTGTGGTGGGAGCCGCAGGCCACTTCTGTCACTCTCTTGTTAAGGAGGTTGGTTGACACCAGGGCCGGGATCAGACCGTGGTTGGTGGTCCCATTTCCCAGTTGGCTGTAGCCATTGTGACCCCAGGCATAAACCTCACCATCTACACAACAATGGGAACACTTTTATTTACATACAGTGGTTATTAGTCAGTGAAAATATAAGTATTCAACATTATATAATTTATCTACATTAATAATTATCGCATATATTGATAAAAATGCTGTAATGATGCAAAATTATTTTTATACGTCAGAAGAAGGGAGCAAAATAATATTTTTACAGTTGTCTTGAGTCAGAAAAACAACAAAAACACAACAGTTGTTCGAACCTGTGAACAACCAGAGCAAAAAGAGAAAGCAGGTCAACAGGTCACACCAGACCTGTTTGTATTTAAATTTATTTTATTAGGATATAAATTTCCTAAAACGTAAACGAAGAATGACTAAATGATGAAGAGCCAGTCATAAGTAGTCATCTCTAAAAACAGATCCTCAAACTATTAAAAAGAAAGAGACGGAAAAATGGCAAAACTCATGACATCACAAACAAATCACATAAATCAAATAAATCACACTCCATAATTATGTTGTCAATAGGCTATTCTGTTTGAATTAGAGTTATAATTTTAAATGTAATAATTTAGACTAACAATATAAATTGTCCGTCCGTTTTCTGCCGCTTATCCAGGATTGGGTCGCGGAAGCAGCAGAGAGACCCCGTTCTCCCCAGCGACACCTTCCAGCTCGTCCTGGGGGACACCGAGACGTTCCCAGGCCAGAGGGGATACACAATCCCTCCAGTGAGTCCTGGGTTTTCTCCAAAGTGCCAGACATATTTTGAAAACATTTTAAAATGCTTATTTCAGAACCGCAACTGAGACGACCTGCGACCGCGCGCGGGGGATTACGGTGCACAGCGCTGCGGCTTCTGAATAAATGAAAATGATTTAACACAGTTGTTTATACTTTTAGCAGCTCTTTTTATTCCACAGCTGACCTGTTAAAAATGACAGATTTTCTTTTCTGGATCTCTGACAGACGGACTTCAATCTCTGAACTCGTAAAGT